GGCAGTGCGGAAAGTTCCAAATATCGTTGTATTGTTTTGCTACTTGTAACCACCCCTCTGATGTTGTTGGTATCTGTAAAAAATATCGTTTTCAGAAACTTCAAAGAATAATGATTCTACTAACTAAAAAACCTTGAATTTATGACCTGATCTACAAGACATTTCTTTCCCAACCCAGAAAACTATTTTGTCATATTATCGAAAAAATATCAACAGAACTTTTTATTTGGTTGCAGATTGATAAAGAAACAGACGAAAGTAATGATGTAGATGATGATACCGCTTTGCAAGATATGAATCCGGACTCTGAGGAGCCCCAGAAGACTAACGACATACAAGAGCCTGACGAGACTGAAGAGCATCATGAGATTCAGAAGCCTCACGGGACTCAGCAGTCTCACGAGACTCATGAGCTTCGCGTGACCCAGGAGCCCAACGAGTCTCAGCAGACTCCAAAGACTCGGATTAGAGTCAGTAACAAGGAAAGAAAACCCCCTCAGATGACTCATAGTATCCCGAACAAAAAACGTGCAGTTGAAAAATTGGATGCTGCTTTCGAAATTCTAACAAAGGCATCGAATAAGGAACCACCGCAGGATCCAAGCGAATGTCAAATATTTGGAAATCTTGTAGCCAAGAAACTTAGTAAATATTCGAACGTAGCACAAACGGCAGTACAAGAAGCCATCATGAATATTTTATTTGCGGCAGACAAGGGGTATTATAATCAATATCCCGCTCCAAGAGGTTATCAATCAAACAATTATTCCACAATCCAAAGCGAACTTGTACAACGTGATTCGGTTTACCAAGATACTCAGTTGATACAATCCCCATATTCACCCCGTCCCGCAGCTCATTGGGATTTTGCAACTGACGCATCATCCCAAGCGCCTCAGTTTTCACCGGTACCACTGCCACTAATATCTCCAGCATCAGCAAGTTCACAATGCTCGGGTATGACAAATTATTCCGCTTCTACCAGCAATCCACCCCCATTTACCAGTGCAACATTACTAACTGATTTAAACTTGCCAGATAATTAAATGATATTCAAGAACAAAATTTTATAGAAAAATGTTTTATAATAAAGAATTTTGAGCAATAAATAAATCAACATACCTGTATATTCTCCTTCAACCCTTCTATGAGAGCTTCACACACTTCTGGTACTATAGCGCTTATCGATTGTTTCGAAATTTTGAACAGATATTGCAGACTCGTGAAGGAATCTCCAGTCGCCAGAAAACGCATTGTTACTGCCAATCTTTCCTGAACCGAAATAGCTTGTCTCCAATTAGTGTCTCTTCTTGATACTTTTGGACCGATTAGGTTAATCAAAAATTCAAAATCAGTTGGCGACATTCTGGTAAAGTTTTTGTATAGACCACTCACAGACTGGAAGTTTAGGTCTCTCAATAAATGACGACCACTGTACACAGTTCTACTGGTGTATAATTGAGTCTGCCACCAGCGTCTTGGTCTGCGTTTTCTCTTATGCACTAAATAGTGCATAACTATGTAAGCTGCAGCAGCAATGTCCATCTTGCTTGAACGTAGATACCAACTAACTAAAAACGTTGCTAAAAAGCTGGGACGCCTAAATGTTCCGCGCCGATGTTGCGCGGCGATGTTCTGTTGCACCAAACTAAACCCACTTTCCTCATCGCAACGTAACAACGTCGCGCAACAGAACATGTCGCGTGCTTGATACGCGGTGAAGTTACGTTACGGCTTTCTGTTGCATGTCTGTACGCACCTTAATATGTCGATGTAAAAAATTCTAAAACCGCCGCGGCAGTTAGTCTATCATCTTACAAGGTAAAATCACAGAAAATATATTTGCCCGAGAGAATCGCGCAACGCTGTTAAAATTTGTTTGCCGAAAAGCTAGCGCGAATATAATTTATTTCAATTTATAACACCGGAGCAGCGCCTCGAGCGGTCTGCCGTCGCCCATAAGCGTAGGTTTTCTATAGTTAACTATAATATTCTTTGCCATGGTTTATCTTTTCCAAAAAAAAGAACTACCGCTTCATCAGGGTTTAATTTTAACTGATGTTTCTCTGAAATAGAGACCAGTTGTTGAAGGTCTTCTTCAATTAGACTTTTAGCTTCCTGCCAGTTTTCAGAATGAAATGAAAAATAAAGCTGCCTATCATCAGCATAATTATGGTCCGTACAGTGGTTTATATATGTTGACAGATGACATGTATATATTGAGAAAAGCAAAGGAGCTACAATTGAGCCTTGAGGAATTCCACTCATGATTTGCGTCTTTTCTGATCTACTATTTTTTGTTTCTATAGAATATGGAAATCGTGACTGACTAGTATAGAACACAAACTAGTGAAAATTTTCAAGATTGAAAATCCTCTTCGTGGGGTTGCAGTCAAAGTTTTTTGGACCAGGGACAAAATTAAAACATTTGTTGCTTAGTCAAGCTTTCGGCAACTCTTTATTGCCTTCTTCAGGACAGCCTAAAAGTTGTACAATATTTCCTTGGGATTTTTTGTTTCTGTATATTGATAACGTTCTGCTGAAAAACCTATAAAGTTGAGTATTGACAACAGTAGTTGATGGCTAACAGTGTCAAATGCCTTAGAGTAGGCCAGGAGAATCAAGGCAGTGGTCTTCCCCATATCAATTTCCCTCAGTATGTTATCAGTAACATCAGCAAGTGCAGTCACGCAGCTATGACCTGGCCTAAAGCCAGATTGTTGTTGTGGTAATATTTCATATTCCTCTGTGTTCCCTGATTTGTTTATCCATAATTTTCTCCAAGATCTTAGATATGCAGGGAAGTATAATTACAGGTCGCAGATCATTATATCCCTCTGGCGTATTTATTTTGGGCAACGGTTTGACCTTCGCTACTTTCCATTTGGCAGGAAACTTACTTTCTAGTAGACAAGAGTTGATGATATTAGTGATGAAGGGGAAAATTCTTGGACAACACATAAGTAACATCTGTAAGTTAATCAAGTCTGGATCGGTTGCTAACGATTTTAAGTTGCTTAGGTGTGTGTTTACCTCATCTACAGAAACAGTTCTAAAAAAGAAAAGTGATTGAAAATTTGTTTTTTTATTTTCACTATAAAACTGCAGAACATCAGGGTCGACCTTAGACGAGACTCCAGAGAATTTAAGAAAGACATTATTTATTTCTTTTGGATCATCCAGCTTTTCTGGAAAATCATTTTGTTCTGAGTTGTATCAGATTTCTAATTGCTTCAGGCGTTTCCAAAGGAGCTTCTGATCCAAATTTCTAGCGCAGTAGTCAAGATAAATTGCAATCTTCTCCCGTTTGCTAACTTAATTGAATAGAATTACTATCAAACTGAATACCTATCAAAAGGCAAAATGACTGCTTATGTACAAATGTTTGAAATCTCACATACAAGTTATAATTTTTTTTTCAATGCCTATCACACATATAGGTTTTTCTGACGAGGATGAAAATGAAGAAGAAATTAATGAAAACGAACATTTTGGCGATCTATCAGATTTGGATGACTGCAATAATGATGATAATAATGGAAAAGGTGACATCAGTTGTGATGGAAGTGACTCTGAAGTGATAGATAACAATGAAAACGATAATGATGATGCTGATGATAATAATGACATGCTGTTTTTGATGATGTTGATGATTAAAACTTTTTTTTTCTAAAGATACAATTTTTTATTGTTCTGCCTTATCATATTTAGGTATCTTAAAAACCCGGTTGTCAGACGGGAGAAAGTTGTTTGAACACATAAACATTTTTCGCAATTCAACAATAATTGTGCAACGTATGTAGCTCATTGCGGTTTCTGCCATATTGAGAATATGCATATTCTCATAACTATTTCACTGAAACAAACGGCAGACGGGTTAAAAACGTTCATGATATGAACAATTTTTGTTCCAATTTTGTTCATCAATTATAAGAACTTGTATCAGCCTGCAATTTCTGCCAGTCGAAATTTAAGCTTTTAGTAGTAGCTAATTTAATATAGATGATTGGCAGATGGGAAAAAATTGATCTCAACTTTGAAAAATTTTGACATTTTTATTCTTTCTGCCAATTGTTAATATACCTTGGATACATCTGCCAATACATTTCTTGGATTTTACTCTGCATGTCAAACTTATCTTCCAAATGGCAGATGGGAGAAAATTGTTTCAACATCTCAGCATTTTGATACAACTTCAAAAATTGTTAAATATTAATATAACAACCGAGATTTTCTGCCATTTCTTTATTAATCTCATACATCGTAAATGCAACATAAATTTAATTTGGCAGACGGGAGTTCGTTGATCCACATGTCCAATTTTGGCGACATTTTGAAATTAGTAATATGACACTTTATACTAACCTAGGGTTTCCGCCGTTTAGCTTCCTTGTACTCATTTTTGTTTGAATTACCTTCACAATGTGTGGCAGACGGGATAATATTGATCCAAATCTCCACTGTTCATTTAATGGCAGACGGGAGAAAATCATTTTAAAAAAATGGTCGTTATGCACCGGTCTATTATGGGTTAATTATTTGATGTATTGTGACACAATATGGAAAGAAAAGATTATTCCTATTATTATAATTACTTATAACGCTCCTGATGAGACACTTTGCAGATTCTACTTTTTTGTTAGTTGTGCGCTTGGCATTTTGGGTTTGGTTGCTTGGTGTACGACGTACATGAGCCATAATATACTAAGTTTAATTTTTGTAGGTAAGTATTCAAAAGCTGAAATTTATTGAAGGTAGCCATTTAAGCAATAATGAAAGTATAACAGCATAGATATGATAAACTTCACATATTAACATAAGCAAATAATAAACACAGCAAATAATTAGCAATAAAAGAAAATTAAGCGCCAATACACGATAAAGAAATGTCGATAAGCTATGACATCATAAAATACGCGATTTTGTTGACTATCGGTGAAAATAGTTAAAACAATGCATTTAAATATTGTCAGCCATAACCAATGTTTTTTTTTAATTACCTGTTGGAGTCATGGGCAAAGTATGCTCAACTCCTAAAAATAAAAATCAATTACAAAAATGCAAATCACATATAACAATTCAAAGTGTGCATTCCATCAAAAATAATGTGCAATTCTATTTTACATAAAACTTAATGTGCAACTAACGATAATTTGAACAAGAGGGATCTCATTATAGTTATTTATGATATAAGTGCTAAAAGTGACATTTTATTTTGTGAAAAGGGAAGTTTGGGACACGACGCCGAAGGCGGAGTGTTCCATCCCTTTGAACAAAATAAAATCACTTTTAGCACGAATGTCATACACTATTTTTTCTACAAACGCACTAAAAGTGATTACTTTTAGCACTAGTGCTAAAAGTAATCACTTTTAACACCAGTTTCATAAAATGGCATTTTAGACACTGACAGCATCCGTTAAAAATGACACTTTTAGTGACGTTTGTAGAAAAAGTTTATTTATTTCTATTATAATTATTGTAATACTGAGATATTATTCCATAGTCAATTGTAGCTACATTCAATAATAGTATGTCTCAAACCTGCTCATAATCTCCAAAATAATGCCCCACAATGTTTAGAATATAGATAAAAAATGTGTAAATTAATTTTATAACTAGTAACATTCTGATTTCTCACCTGTAGATTCTGGTTGTTCATTTTGTTCAATAAGCCTCCAAGCCGTTGCAATTGAATGCACAGCATATCTATGTAAAGGCAATAGCAAACGAAAAACATTGTCTGCCAACCAATGAGCAACATATTGAGAAGAGAGGCTTTGTTTCTGATGAAAACAACCATCAACCACAGCCTGAAAAAACATTTTTACAAAAACACTCGAATGTATTACTTAATTATTTACTTTGAGCGTTTTATTTATTGACAAACACATCTGTGGACCGCCTGAGTAATGGTCCATGCTGACAACGTAGGCGCACATAAGCAGAGCCGAAAACTGTTCTGATGTCATTTGGTGGCTACCCTTTTCTTCACTAAACGTAGACCACATTTTAACCCAAATGTCTAATATGACACTATCATCTAAAATCTAAAATTAAAATTCACCAAAGGTTTTGATTGAAAAGAAAATTATATTGTGAAGAGTACCGAATTCACAGATAAAATAATAATATGCGTATAGGTTCATTTATTTAATTAGGTTGAGATATATTCATTATTATATTATGCACCTGTTAAAGGGTACTTACTGCTAAGTACTTTTCGCATTGTTGCCTAAAACTAGACGTCGGAATGTATTCCTTTGTTGACTTTGAATTTTCCAGGAAATATTTGAATAGTTTGTCGGCAAGCTGGGGATATTTTGGGAACAAATACCGCTGAAAATAAGTTAGAGGAGAGGCCATTTTCAAATATGGAAAATTTACAAATTCATCTTATTAAAATAAAACTTACATAGAAAACATTTTGGGTTACTCCATTGACATTATCTTCTGTTTGGGCTTTTTCTGTTAAAATCTGCAAAAAAAAAGGCTGGTAACAATATAAGATGAGATGATCTTCAAGTTGTTATTTCCATAATCTTCATTTAAAAAGGTGTTAAATTTGTAATAAATCATGAGATACTATTATTTGCATTAATGTCTACAGATATGTTCGTTCAAATTGAAAGGTTTGACCTCTGAATTATTTGTTTGCATTCACATTTGAAGGCTATTGTTAGCTTAGTAGTTATTTCAATATCTAGCGGAAACTTTATCCGCCACTACTATCATAGGGGAAGGTGAAAACAGGATCAAATATGGAACTACTCGTTAGACTTGGCATATAAATTTCAATAAACGCAATCCAGAAATTTTGTTGAGACGCTGAAGGAAGCTAGGGCAATTATTATGAGCAGAGACTGCATAAGAAAATAGTTTCGAGGATACAGTCAATTCTACTGGGAGACATTTATTAGATGACTCTCATAGAATATTCAATGGGACAAGTCAGAACATACTCAATGTCCTGTATTGGGACCCAAGGCATTCAAAAACCTATACAAAATTTAACTAGGAAAAATCGCGTTCATTATATGTATTTAATTCTGCTGGAAAAAATTGATCACTCCTAGTCCTATTTCTATATGTCAGGCCACCTAGAGCAGAAGTGGAAGGTATGTCTAGTAATTGGTATGTAGAAAATCAGAGAGATGGATGATCTCTCAGGAATGTTTCAAATAACTTCATAAATGGGTGCTATCAAAAAACATTACAAAACAAATAATTGTATTTATGAATGGGTTCCAATCTCATCGATTCTCCATTAAAGTCAAACTTCTAAGAACTCAAAAGGCCACGCGTGGTCAAAAATGAAAGCATCCTAACCTTCACGAACCACTTCACAACCTTAGCCAGAGTAAGCAATACTGCTATAGCCCTCAAGTTAGGACAGTCATGCTCACTACCCTTAGCTAGAGTAATGATCAATGCTCTCTTGAAGCAAGACAAGAAAACTCCCAAAACAAAAGATATAGGTTAATTGTCTCATCAAGAACCTGCCAAGCAACGATGGATAAGGCCAAAGACATCCTCAATGAAAACCCATCTCTAAAACCTATCCCAACCTGAAGCACCTTTATTCATAATATTCCCGAGCTCTTCTGCATTAGGTAGTTTGGTTGGACCAAAAAAGAAAAATTAGGCCATCATTAAATGTTTAGGATGCTTGAAGTGGCCCAGACAAGCTGAACCAAACTACTACCCCTCAGGTCATTCAAAAGATTCCCTTGATCTATAACCAAGTAGTTGATTAAACCTAAGTAGTCCACTTGGCAAACCTGATCGATCTACAGGAAATCCTGCAGTACCCATCAAAATAATTTAAAAAGGTTAAATAGTTCATTGAGTATGTTCTTCTGAAGGGAGTGCATATTTTTCCCAGAAGTTTGCAGACTTTTTCATGTTTCATGCATGGAGTCGAATGACGTTCCAACAGTAACCACAACATCATTTGACTCCAATCTGTGGCAAAAAATCTAAATAGGAATAAAACACTACCTTCAGACACGACACAAATAATAATTTGGAAAAAGAACTGAATTTCTACAGGAACTAGAGTTACCAATTATAGATATATCCCAAATGGACATTAATCAGACAGAAACTCATCACGCTCAAATGCTTAAGATCAACCACCTAACTCTGGGCCAAATTTATTTGGAATCCAATTTGGCTACGAATATATTTTTTTCAATTTGGCGGATTTTTGTTTGAACATAAGGGGGGGGGCCCTTCCTTAATATAGAAAAAAATATCCTTGATCATTGCCTTTGGGGCTGTTGCAAAATTTAATTTTTTACTCTAAAACTACATGAATTATTTGAGAATATTAAGAAAATATTGGAGAAGAGGCTAAGAAGTTTTTTTTTCGAAAAACTTCAGGTTTTGTATTGGAAACGTATTTTTTTTCGAAAACTTTGTTAAATAATGTCTTACACTTATAATAATAATAATAATGTATGGTAATATTATTTAAAAAAGTTTTTGAAAAAAGTACGTTTTTAATACAAGATCTGAAGTTTTTCGAAACATTTTTTCATAGCCTTTTCTCCAATATTTTCCTTATATTTTCAAATAATTTATGTAGTTTTAAAGTAAAAAATTTAATTTGGCAACAGCCCCAAAGGCGATTAAAAATACTGCATCTTACTTGGCTCCCGCTGTACATTTTGATAAGACATTTGTTCTACGATCAAGAAAAGGCCCCCCCTAATATTCACACAAAATTTCACAAAAATACATTAAATTAAAAAAAAAAAATATTGTGCCAAATTGGGTTCCAAGTAAATTTGGCCCACAGTGTAGATCTTGATGTTAGCCCAATTTGTTATATCATCTAGTAACTATAGCAGTGGCACTACTACAGGAAGGTAGAAATTTTTTTCGAGTGCCACGCCCAAAAACCTTTATTTTAAGCCTTCAACAAACGAATTTATTGTACGTGCTTCAATGCCTGCTTTGTCAAATATTGAATTAAAAAACTCCTCATTTTTTTAATCGCTTTTTTTATCTGTCATACAAAAATCTATCTCAATCAATCTCAATCTCAATAAGCTTTATTGTCTCAAAATACACATATTTCATTGACAAAGCAATTCTTATTACTAATAGGTAAGCAATTAAACTTTAAAATCATGCAATACTTAAGTAGACTAAACAAATAAAATAAAATAAAATAAAATAAAATAAAATAAAATAACTTAAAATAAAATAAAATTGAATAAAATAGCAAGTTCCCAAAAACAAATTAGAAACCCACATAGTGGCTGAAACCTTAAAGAAAGTATAGAACAAAAAATACCACATTTAAGATCAAGATATGCGCAGTAAAAGTCGATCATTTTATCAAATAAACTCACCACGAACAGTGTTATTAGTTGAAGTTGAAGTTTAAACGAATTATGTTATTTACTAAGTTATTCGGTTAAGATAATATTCCGTCAAGTTATAGAATGCTTTGGTTGCTAAAAATTTTTTAACTGTAGTGCGAAATAATTTGTAATTGTTAATGATTTTAATATCTTGCGGCAAGTGATTAAATATTTTGATGTTTTCATAAATTAATGATTTTTTTGTGAGTGTAGATTTTGGAATTGGCAATGGCAAGTTATTGTGTCTAAAATTATAATTTCTTTCATAAGAATAACCAAAGAATTTTTTGTATACCAAGCAGACTGACTCCAATATAAAAATGCATGACACCGTTAGTATTTCCTCCTGCCTAAACAGGGACCTGCATGATTCTCTGTATCCTTTTTTGCACATACAACGAACAGCTCTTTTCTGTAGAACGAACACCGAATGTAACAGACTGTCTGTTGTGTTACCCCAGAAAGCTATCCCATACTGTATGTGTGCATCAACCAGAGCGAAGTAAGCCGCCCTTGCTGCTTGTTTGCCAAGTTCCCGTGCAACTACTCTTATGACGTAACATCCTTTGGCTAGTTTTTTTGTGAGTTGGTCTATATGAATATCAAATTTCAGATGTGTATCAATGTGAATGCCTAAGAATTTTATTGTTGATTTGTTTTCAATGGTCTCGTCTCTTAGTTTTATGTCAGTCAAAGCACATTTAAAAGTAAGGATGTTTGTTTTTTTTATATTAAAACAGAGTTTGTTTGCTTCACACCATTGACTTATTAAAGAGAGATCTTTTTCTATGGTGGCACAGAAATTGATTAAAGACTTTGCACTCCACAAAACATTTGCATCGTCAGCAAAAGCAGTAACCGCCGCCGAGATTGGCAAGGATAAGAGGTCGTTGATGTACAACAGGAACAGAACCGGTCCTAGGACAGAGCCCTGAGGAACCCCCCGACTGATCGTCTGAATCCCTGATGCACTCTCCCCAACACCAACGAACTGATCTCTCCCCGAGAGTAAAGATGAAAACCAAAATAATGGCGTATCGCGAATACCATAATGATCTAGCTTCCGCAGTAGTATCTCTTGATCAACACAATCAAAGGCTTTTGAAAGATCGCAGAACACCGCCGCAGCAACCTCCTGATCATTAAGGCTAAGGTAAAGTCTCTCTAAAAAGGAGAAGACAGCATCGTTAGTGCTTTTAGCACTTTGAAATCCGAACTGATTCCCATTAATTATATTGTGTGTGTTTAAATATTCTAAAAGTTGTTTTTTTACTATTTTTTCCATTAACTTAGACAGCGTACTCAACAGCGAAATAGGCCTGTAGTTTGACGGGTCGGTGTTATCGCCTCCCTTAAAAATGGGTATTACCATGGCCGTTTTAAGGCATGGAGGAAATATTCCAGTGCTAAATGACCTATTAATGCTTAAGGCTAGAACGTCAATGGCACTGTCTGGTAAATTTTGTAGGAGTTTTGAAGAGATATTATCTGTACCAGATGATTTTTGTTTTTTTATGGTCTTTAGTAAGTGTTTAATTTTATTACCATCGGTATTTTGAAATTTAAATGTTTCCGTGTGTTGAGCAGGTTCCAAATATGATAAGGGATCAATATGGGAGTTTAGATTTCTTGTTAATGTTGCAGCAATGGAAGTGTAAAATGTGTTAAGATCACTCGGATTAATATTAAGCTTATTCTTATGTTTTTGCTCAACGTTTCTGAATTCATTTATAATGTTCCAATACTCTCTGCCCTTGTTATCCGCATCATTAATTCTTTTTTTATAATAAATTTCTTTTGCCTTTTTTAATACGCTTCTGTAAATTGTACGGTACTTATTATAGTGTGCAATAATATTTTGACAAGTGGTAAACTTACGTATTGTGTGGAGAGATCTTAGATTGCGCGCTGAAGTTTTTATACCTTTGGTTATCCATAGTTTCTTCTTATTTTTAACTTTAATTTTACGAAGAGGAAAGGTTTTATTAAATATCGTTTTTATTTTTGTTTGAAATGACTGAATTGGATCTGCTGCTGTTAGGCATTCATACCAGTTTTGTTGGTTGGCTGAAATTTTAAAGCTATTGTAATTTTTACTACTATA